ACTATGTGTGTCTGCATAACATCAAAACAATTAGTGAAAAACGGTAATGCGGTGGTTATTTGAAATACCTGTCCTTAGAAGACAGGTGAGATATGTATTATTCATTCTTGCAATTGTTTATCATGCAAACGTTGTTATGGGAGCCATACGCTCTTCTTCAGTATTGATTGACCTGACAATATGTATCGATTGCCAACCTCATCAACATTCTTGTTTCCACTAGTATAGGGCATTACGTATACAAATATATGTATAAAACGAACAGATTCTCTCATAGGTATGAGGGATAGGGAAGTCCTGTCCTTGGGTGTAGAATTTCGCTGAAGTTATCCGTCACAACTACATATAATAGACTCTTGATCTGTTATAGGAAAATTCCTATATGGTGATGGTGCAGAATTTTGGTCAGAACCTAATTGGCTTTATTGAGGGTCTGAGCCAAAATTCTACATACCTTGGTAGAGTTCCTCTATAACTTCATATAAGTGCATATACGGTACATGTGTATATATGACAGGGAGGGGCTGTGGTGGCCAAGTGGTTAAGGCGTCTGACTTTCTGCTACCACTAGCCCTCCACCACTGGGTTGCGCATTCGAGACCTACAGTACGTGGGACAGTTTCCAGGTACTGGCCCCAGGTCGTTGGTTTTTCTCCAGGAATTCCGGCCTTCCTCCACTACCAAAACCAGCTGGCACGTCCTTAAATGACCATATAGCCGTTAAAAAGATTTAAAACACAAACAAATGAAATATATGAAAGGTTCCATTTAGGGATCCTTGTACTGCTGCCCATCATCCTCTTTGTTAATCTGTAGTGCACCTCGAGCTCTGGCGATAGCAAAAGTGTGCCAGAAGGTCATCAGAATGTCACCCCTAAGCTAGCCTATTGACTGGGATATTCTGTGCACTTCCGGCAACATGTTCTGGCAAATACTTTGTGCATTGCAATATTACCGTAATATCACTGTATTCTAAACTTTCTATTTCTGTAAGGGACCAGTAAAACAATTATCACCTGTCTAATTGTAGTCATCTATAGCCAGGATATCATATACTTATATATACATCTCTGTAACCACTGTATATATCTCCACTCCACAACTACTGGATACACTTGTGTGGAGTTGTTTATAAGCATTTCTTGTTATATATTAAAGTTGGCCATAAGTTTGTTAACATTATAACCTGGATGTGATTTCATTGGTCATCTTTTGATTATGACATCACATAACAAAACTTCGTGACAATTTTAAAATCTTCCGTTTAGATCGAATTCCTCATTTATGGTAGTTATTTCCTCAATCAGAAACAGGAATCATGACGGATTTCCATTAGAGAACTTTGTGGTATTCTAGCATTTGGATAAATGTTTGAGATTTAGGTGAGAAGCATGCACTAATTTAGCCAGCTATTAATTATGATCATGTGACATTGCGAGATCATAGAATAATTACCTTAACATGTTACCTGTGTGTTTATCTACTCTGTATTGAATATACATATGTACATGTAAGAAATTTGGAATTAGGGTTTTGGAACTGAACAAGGACGTGATTTTGTAGAAATCTTATAGAATGATTAACACGACGCCTTTCCATGCTAATTCTTTTATATCAACTGTCTTCATAATTATCATTATTTCATAGAAGTATGTAAAATTGATTGATCAAAAAATATATAATGCTGTTAGCTAACATTCAAATGACAACCTTGACTTGTCGAAAATTTAAGGGCAACCTACATTTATTATAAACCTTAGACTGCAATAATCTTAGCTTCACAACAAACTTCAGATCTGTCCACCGCTTATATCAAAGTAAGATAAACATGACAACTACCCACAACATCTTTACACGTGTCTAAACAAATATATAAACAACCAAAACTTGTGGGTTAACACCTATAATAGTCACCATATTGTACGATGTGTACACAGTGAAGATCATACGGTTAAACTCCCTATTGATGGGGATGTCCCTATTCTGTAATAACATTGAGTCAGTATAGGACATGTTCGTTTACCGACAGCTTTTTTAAATGTTAAACTTCTTTTGACCTTCCAGTTACCTTAACTGTATGTAAACTCTATGGTTCAGTGATTATCTGTTCAGAAACCAGTTTTTACCATCACAGATACTGGCCCTTTGAATGGAATGTGGGGTTTAATTTAAATGCACCTTTGTAACTCTTCTGTATTTATTGAACATGTAGATCACGTATTCGAATATTCTTTAATTACAAAGGTCCCATAAGAAGTACATCTGTAGAATTATACCATATGGTGAAACTGAATAGTACAAGGTTTAAATTGCATTCTGATATCTCACCTACAGGTAAATCAATTATCAAATACTTTTTAGAGGTATTTATGTCAATTTACATGCTTGAAATGTTTTTTCATTTATCAGGAAAAATCTAGGGATGTTACAAGAATTATATTTTTTTGCGTCAGACGACTGGCGCATAGAAAACATCTACCGCCAGTTTGTCTAGGTCCTGGCCGTGGTATACAAGTGAAATACAATGCAGTGTAGCTTAATATAGCCTGATGTAGATAGATATAAAGTCTATACTGACATCGACCGATTTTTCATACTCGTTTCTTTGAACGATTTTCGTGCTTCACTTGTTATAGAGACAGCATTATGTATAATATATTAAGCTATATATGTATAGGTACACCTGTATTGAGTGGCTGATATAACTCTTTTGATTCCAGTTTCTGTATCTTTCTGTTGATAACATTTTCCCAAGGTAACTGTTCTACAACAGTATTCTGTATTAATTAAAGGGAAGCATTTAAATATCTCCTGAAACATTATTAACCCATTCACCCTTGAAGTCACATTTGAACCTTATATATATTACCATATCAAAGACTGGGCAAGTCCAGTTTAAATATGTAGAGGTGAAAGAGTTAAGGTACTTAAAACCTATAAGTGACATGCATATGATATTCAGTGGAAAGTACTGTATGATGTTTCATGGTATTAGAATTCTCCCCAGACCTCTGATGTTTGTGGAATATCAAAAACAAAATATGTAATTATCAAGAAACACAAAAATCCCAGTCCAAAGACAACTTTTAGAAATTTTAAAATAAACAGTAAAATGAATATCAATGATATCACCACAAACACCAAGTAACATTACCTATATTATTTAATGGTCTGTTTGGTTTTTAGATAAAAGCTTTTATTATTTTTTCATATTATTCCCGACAAGTTATTGGCCAGGAGTGCATCACGTGTCCACCGATAAAAACCAATATTGACTAGGAGCGCGTGATTTTTGTTGAAGGACTGGGTGTTTCTAAAAATGACGTGACTCCAAACAAACGCGTCGTCCCGCTTCTGTAGATTTTTGCTGTGATTTTTTTTCAGATTGCTAATATTACTGTATTGAAAATAATAAAACAATTGTAGCCTTTGACTTCGGTCGATACCTGGATTTATCGACCCGAGAAAAAGATATAATGACCTCGGACTGCGTCCTCTGTCAATATATCTTTTCTCGGGTCGATAAATCCACTCACAAAATAAGGTATCGACCTCAGCCAAAGGCTATAATTGAATAATACATGTACATGTATAATGTTTTGCATGGTTTCAATCTAAGCATATGTCATCAGGCATGTTTAACAGCAAAACGAATTTAAACATCGCTCTATAACAACATATATACTGAATAAAAGACATAAAGGATACCCTAAACATCATAGTATGTGTGTCTTTATGCCAACTGCCCTAATAGTGCATGACAATATTATTTACGTTATAGACTGTAAAATGTTAGAGGGACTGCAGTTGCCAAGTGGTTAAGGTGTCTGACATTCTTCTGCCACTAGCCCTCCACTACTGGGTTGCGGATTCGAACCTACGTGGGACAGTCGCCAGGTACTGGCTGTAGGTCGGCGGTTTTTCTCTGGGAACTTCGGCTTTCCTCAACCACCTAATTAAACCTGGCACGTCCTTAAATGACCATAGCTGTTAATAGGACGTAAAACGCAAACAAGCTAAAAATGTTTAATATTATAAGTCTGTCAATACCAGACAGGTAATTTAAAACTTTTAAATATTTAAACAGAGCCAATTCAAGTCAGTTTTGAAAAGTTTAAAATAAGTACCTGATGACTTCTATCTTCATGTTACACACCATGAAGATCAAGTTAAAGCAGCAAACTAGCTAGAGGATGGTAACTTTTTGTCGGTTTCATTGCTCACCTGCTACGACTCAAGTCTAACAAAACACAAGGTCATCGATCATTAGACTTAAATATGTCCTTTAAAACAGCCCAGACATGCAAATGATCAAATGATACAGACTTGAAAAGAACATGTATCATGTAGACATGTGTCCTGTAGTCCAAAGCAATTAATATGCTAGATACAAAGCCATTGGGATGATAAATGATTGAAAAAGGAAAATGTATACCATGGTAGATCTCAAGACCTGGGTGTTAAAACAGGCCTGCATGTCTATCCTTTTTATTATATGCCCATCGTATTATAATTTATGGAATAGCGTTTGCGTCCGTCTGTCCGGTTAACGTTAGGGTGCAAGTTTCTTCAGTAGTGTACAGTTCAGTCAGATCATATGTTATTGTCCTAATTTTTGGCATGGATGTTCATGTGGGGTCTAAGAAGGACAATATGGATTTAATTTAACAAACAAAAAAATCATTTGGATAGGGTCGGACGGTTGTATTATGTATCCGTTTGCAGTGCTCTTGTTTTGTCTTGCCACCACAAAGTAGTGGAAGCTAGGCTTAGGTAGATAGATATAAAGTGTATACATATATATATGGGTAAGGTCGCAAACAGAGGGTTCACGAAAATACCTAGCTGACCCAGCAGGGGCACATCACCTCATATGATCATGCAGTGTGATTGTATATACAGCAAGCCAAATCTAATATCAATTAAAAACTGCAAGCTAGAGTAGAAAAGGTTTTTTTTCTAAAAAAAAATCATATATTGTATTTTATTGTGTCTTTCAGGTTATGCAAGAGGAAATCCTGCCAAGCTTGTATTCCCTACAGACTCTGCTGGCAGTATCTGTGGCTATGACACAAGGTACGGACAAACTGTGAAAGGTCAAGGTTAACATATGATGTTTAGTTGTAGCTCAATCATTTGGAACTTAGATTCCTAATACAATATAAGTTCATAATTTAACCCATTTACCCCTGAAGACAAATTTGCACTCTTTCATTTCAAAGGTTGGAATAGTCTATTAAGAAATTGCAGGGGTGAATGAGTTATTACTTAATAATATTGGAAAGTAATAGATCTCATTGAGATCTTCAACTAATTTATAAACCAATGGAAAGAAGAAGAAAATACAGCTCTTCCAGTGTCTGCCTTTGGAGGGGAAGTAACTCACTGAATTTTTAAATGAAAAACTGTTCATTAGAGTTGGTTCTTTTTTTTCAGTGTGAAGTCTAAGCCGAACCTGATGTATTTTGACTTACTACAGTGTTCAAAGGTGCAGTCCATCTTTCTTGGCTGTCCTACTCCACAGGTAAGTGTTCTGATATCATTAGTATCCCTGTCTCACATACTGCAGACAAACAAAACCTACAGTAGCCTCACTCCCCTTAACTCATTCACCCCTAAAGTCATATTTGAACTCTTTTCAAAGGTTGCAATTCAAAGGTTGCAATAGTTCATTATGAAAGGACTTTGTATGGTTTGGGCCTTTTTTGGCCCCCAAATCCATCAAAATTAAACATCTTCAATAAAACCTTCAAATGACTGTTTCTTTAATTTTGAATACTTCCCTGCTCAAGCTCAAGTGATCTATTGCTATCCTGCGTCGTCCATTAACATTTTACATTTTCAACTTAAGCTGAAATACTGGCAAAGGGATTTCATTAATATTTCATGGGAAGGTTACTGACATCTCCCTGACCAAGTGTTGTTAATTTTCTGGTCAATCAGAAATCTATTATGGCCACCAAGGCTGCCATTTTGAAAAAATATTTCAAACTTATAGTCGAGTTCTGCTGGGCCGATTGAACTGAAACTTGGTAGGAATGATCGACTCATGGTCCTGACAAAGTGTTGTTATTTTTAAAGTCGATTAGAAATCCAATATGTATATATACGTATCTTTGACATCTGCAATCTAACCTTATCAAGGAACCAGTGTTACAAACCGACAGGCGTAAATTAACACTGTTCACACAAACTTTTCTCAGAGGTGGTTGACGTGAAAAGAAATGCCGTTGCCACCTGTTATTACGTTGACCTATAAGTATTTTGTTATACGTATTTTTGGTATCTGCAATTTAACCTTATCAAGGAACCAGTGTTACAAACCGACAGGTGTAAATTAACACTGTTCACACGAAGTTTTCTAAGAAATAGTTGACTTGAAAAGAAATGCCAGTTTAATGTTCGCCTGTTATTACGTTGACCTATTTTGAAGAAGACAAAATCTGGCTAAAAGATGATGAATAGCGGGTGGCTACTTTTGCCGGCAACCCGCTTTTAATGAGAATACTGCATGATAATAATTTAATTTGCACATGTACCTATGCAAAATGTAATGTATTGTGTGCGATTCTTAACACTAGCCACACAGCAAGCCATACTCAGTATACAAAAGGCAAATGACAACCAGAAATACCAGTGTGATATGAAATAGACCATTTATTCCAAAAACCATATAACATACAAACATGTTTACACTGAGTACATGTCACTGCACACCGACCTAAAATACATGCAGTCATTCCGCAGTATCAAATAGTGAGTAGATGACTATTGTGGGTGGGGGGCAAAAACCACTACATGACAAAGAAGAGTTTTGCACTGGGTCGAGGGTCTGTCCCTTGTTAACATATAACTCTTTCTCACCGATTCCCGTCTAATGTTTTGATCAATGCTGGTATTCGGGAAATTTCTTTTCATGCATGGCACTGTTGCCGTCCGTCATACGTTCAGTGTGTCAGTCTGCCTGTCAACAGTTTTTGTTACATGTACCACTATTTTTAGGAAACTATACTTACTGTATACCAGGAAATTTTTGCTGCGGTTTTATTTTTAGCTGATCACCTGCCCGATATTTTGTACTTATATGTTATTGTATTTGTGTGTCTAGGTCTGTGTGGAGAAATGTACCACTGACTACTACGTTTACCTGGAGTCTATAGCCAAGGAGACTCTTAATGGAGGCCAAGACAATACTGAGCGGGCTAAACTGCTTTGTACATATGATGTGGACCCCACAGCAGGCACAGTAAGGCGCACATTAGTTATTGTGAACAAACACATCAAATGCTTCTGACTCAGAAGGCTTAAAAATACTAATAATTTGTAGTAATTGTAAGAAATTAAAAATTGCTCATTACAAAAAGTATGAATTACATCCTGGTCAAGATTTGTCACTTTAAGACAAAAATTAAAACTTCTGATGATTTTGTACAAGTATGGATGATATATTAGGTTTTTTTCTGGTCATACTATATGATCTAATAACAATCCTGACCTCTATTGGAGGAAAGACGTCATTATACTTAGCATTATAATAAATAAACAAATTTTGCCTCCCCTTTTAGCTTTGCCTGCAGACTGTTTAAAACCAATTTGGCCAGTTTTTAGATTGCCTTCAATATTGCCTTAATATACAGTCAAACCTGGTACAAAATTGGTCTCTGAATGGAGGTGGTCTCTTAAAACAGGTGGTCACTTAATTGAGGTGGTTGTATGAACAGGTTTCACTCTATCAGTACTTCCTCACAATAATTACATTTTTCATGTCTTAATCATTTCACCCAATTCATTCAAGTGCAAAAACGGTGCAAATGCAAACACTTTCTTGTTATCTCAGTGATAACTATCATAACTTTGTGCACACCAAAATTTATAGAAGTATTACCATGAAAATTGATTTTACATTAAAAGTAACTTTTTTTGAAAAGTTTAACAGTACACAAATATTTTTTTTATTGATTTTTACAGAAAACTATCCAAGAGCTGATATCAGATGAAGATTGTGCAGCATACTATCTCCCCAACACCGCAAGTATGTACATCACTTTGTAGGATAACTATTACTTCCCCAACACTGCAAGTATGTACATCACTTTGTAGGGTAACTATTACCTCCCCAACACCGCAAGTATCCAAGAGCTGATATCAGATGAAGATTGTGCAGCATACTATCTCCCCAACCCCGCAAGTATGTACATCACTTTGTAGGATCACTATTACTTCCCCAACACTGCAAGTATGTACATCACTTTGTAGGGTAAATATTACCTCCCCAACACCGCAAGTATGTATATCACTTTGTAGGGTAACTTTTACCTCCCAAACACCGCAAGTATGTAGTATGTACATCACTTTGTAGGGTAACTATTGCCTCCCCCAACACCGCAAGTATGTACATCAGTTTGTAGGGTAACTATTACCTCCCTAACACCGCAAGTATGATCATCACTTTGTAGGGTAACTATTACCTCCCCCAACACCGCAAGTATGTACATCATTTTGTAGGCTAACTATTACCTCCCCATCACCACAAGTATGTACATCATTTTGTAGGCTAACTATTACCTCCCCAACACGCAAGTATGTACATCATTTTGTAGGCTAACTATTACCTCCCTAAAACCGCAAGTATGATCATCACTTTGTAGGGTATCTTTTACCTCCCCAACACTGCAAGTATGTACATCACTTTGTAGGATAACTATTACTTCCCCAACACCGCAAGTATGTACATCACTTTGTAGGGTAACTTTTACCTCCCCAACACTGCAAGTATGTACATCACTTTGTAGGCTAACTATTACCTCCCCAACACTGCAAGTATGTACATCATTGTGTAGGGTAACGATTACTTCCCCAACACCGCAAGTATGTACATCATTTTGTAGGGTAACTATTACCTCCCCCAACACCGCAAGTATGTACATCACTTTGTAGGGTAACTATTACCTCCCCAACACCGCAAGTATGTACATCACTTTGTAGGGTAACTTTTACCTCCCCAACACTGCAAGTATGTACATCACTTTGTAGG